TTAAACTATTTAGTGATTTTTATCACACAATTCTGGAGTTTCTTGTCACTGAGGCAATTTTCTTTATGTGAGTAACTTTAGAAATGCAATAACCCTTTCAATACTCCAATTTAAAGGTCTACTCTGTAAACAAAAGTAAGCATTTCCAGTCAGTTACTTCTCTAAATGAGTAATCTGTACCAGATTCACAACGTAATCTGCAGATTACTACATTTTACACCAAAATTTATACAACGAACACTAATGTTGCTACCTCCTACTTCAGGAATTCCTAACAAACATCCTCACGTTTCTTGCAGTAGCCATTTGACAGCAACAGTAAAGCTGATATATTGCCTGCGTACTTCATCAATAAAAACATCACAGCCCCACAAGCTTGGTGAGCCATTTCCTTTTAAGAGTTATGAAATGATGATTCAACTTTTTGTGGTGTAACCAGCATGCATTAAATGCCTATTGCTTAGCATCTAAGTTCTTTACACATGAGAAAAATTCAAAAGCCCTGATTTAATTAAGAAACAGCTTCACAACTTTATGGCATTTATGTATACAATGAATATTTCAAATGGAAAGATGTAAATGACAGCATTTTAAACTGACTGTGGATCTATTCAATTTCTACTAAAAGAGCACAAATATTAATTTAAACCCTTAGTATGATTATCCCATCTTTCACACTAACTGGAGAGAAGACAGGCACTATTAAGTCTATAAATCATACCAATAAAAAAGTTTTGTTTGGCATGCAGACACATACATTCAATTGCAAACTCCTTATGATCCCAAGACAAAGCAGATGGATACAACCCACAATGGACATGTCACATATGCATAATTGATAGCTAACTTCATATATGTCTTCTGTTATATTTTTTATAACAGGACTATATTTATGTAATGGTTATAATTATTCCCAAATATAAAATGTCAAAGCAAATTGTGCTTATTAACAGTATTGTTTATAACTTCTACATATTACCAAAGAAGCAAATTCTGTTCTTTTAGCAATTGTTTACTACCATTTGAGGACAACACTCACCAAGATCATGTTAACAGAATACTCCAAGGGAGTTGAAACAAATAGAAGGAAATCCAGTGATAATAAATACACATTAAAATTCATAGTGTCACTCTAAATTAAAAACTGAACAAACTACTCCATTCAAGAAATAAACAGATGGCCTAGACAATCTTTTCTTCTCTTTCCAAATTAAAACCATTCCCTTTCCCATCTGAAAGAGGATCTGGAATCCACACCTTCAACAGGCTGGAGCTTGCCTACAAATGGCAGAAGTTAGCAATACAGTCAGTAAAGGGAAAAGACATGAAGCCGAGAACTGAACAACCAGCCTAGGGCTCTGCAGGAATTAGAAGAGGCCCCACAACAGAGTCCTTACAAGGCAGGACAGAGATAGAGAGGAGTGGAAGAGGAGGGGGCTGCAGAAAGGGGATCTGTAAATAGCCAGTTACAGAACCCTGCAAAGCACAGAAGCATTCTAGGGAGCTGACAGTTCATGGGCAGTACTGAGTAATAATAGAGATAATAATCTAAGAAAAATGAGATTTAGGAGTCCTTGATAATATGAATTTGGAGTTACAAAGAGAAAAGTAGAATTAAATGTGCAATTTAGGTTAATTTCATATTTAAATTATGCTACTAATTGCTTGTCAAATGAAAGACAAGTCTCTTACCTTCAGAATTTCCATTTCCATATCCCTAAAATGAGGTAAGACACCTGCTCTACATTGCTCTGCCTTTCCACTAAGCTAAAATATGAAAACATTATGATTCTTTGGGGAAAAGTTAAAAGTATTAGTCAATTTTAAAATGCAAGTATTCGCATGGCTGTATGGTCAGTGGCTTTTCCTTTCCTTCAGTTGTCTAAATGCAAATGCATTTATAAGCAGGAGTTTATTAATTCTAAGGGTCCCTCATTATTCCATCTGCAATACTTTCTACTTCTCTTTCTAGTTTGATTCTTTTATGCAACATTTCACCATTAGCTAACCAAACCACTCTTCTATACATAACTAGAAGTAGTGAAACACTAAAGTTAGATGATCAGAATTTGAGATTACATTTATTTACTATACACATAGAAAGATTTTCTTTAAAGAATAATTATTTCAATTTAAAAAATCCACTTATGAAAATTTTAATTTTTGAAAGTGAATATTAGAAAAGGGCATTAGAGTTGAGAAGACTTTTGAAATATCCATTTCTAATTATTGCTATCACCAAATGGAAGCATGAATGAGTCTGGGATTTTAGTTTCTGCTTCTAATTCACCATATGAATATCATAGGAAAATAATTTTCCTTTTTGGTACTATGGACTTATACACTTGCCTCACTCCCATGTTGAACACCATCTTGAGGTCTAAAGAATTTTTTTGTGTCACTCAAACATCTGCTGGTAATTTGGTGACCCCCCCCCATTGCCCCGAGTTTTATTCTACAAATCACTATAGAGGAAAATAACATTATTCCAAGATAAGAAAACCTAAAGGCATTTGCTATGGTTTGAATGTTTGTCCCATCCAAAACTTATTTTGAAACTTACTCCTCAGTATGTCAGTATTGAGAGATAGGGCCTTTAAGAGGTGATTAGCTCATGAGGGCTCTGCTCTCATGAATGGATTAATGTATTCATGGATCAGTGAGTTAATCAATTAATGGGTTATCATGGGAATGGGACTGGTAGTAACTATAGGAATAGGAAGAGAGACCTGAGCTAGCATGAACAGACCCCTTGCCAGGTGATGCCCCGTGCCACTTCAGGACTTTGCAGAGAGTCCCCACAAGCAAAAAGTCTCTCACCAGATGCAGCCTCTTGACCTTGGACTTCTCAGCCTCCATAATTGTAAGAAATAAATTCCTTCTCTGTATAAATTACCCAGTTTCAGGTATTCTGTTATAACCAACAAAAAATGGGCTATGATAGCATTTAATATAGTAATAAGAACTGTCCTACCCTTCGCTCAGACACATTCTTTCAGGAAAGTTACTGGTTGTAGAATCTCCTCAGGTGCTTTAGCCACTCCTTCAAAATGGCAAAGATCCAGCCCTCCCTCAGGTAATGGAATAATGGTATCCACTATGATGAAGTTCCCTCTACCACAGGTTCTAGTTCTCCTCAAAGGCCTGCCACAAACACATCCCAGGACAATAACAGTATTTCTCTTTTTTATTTTGGGGGGGGTACAGTGGGAATAGTAAAAAGGGTTAAGAATATTTACTATACTTAGGATTCAAACATGTTTAGTATTTAATATATACTGCAACTACAAAATGGTAATCTTGCTAGTTTCTTCACCCCTTTTGAAAATAACGATTACCTATATATTAAAACCCAAATTTAAATTTCATATCTTCTTTTTTCTTCTCTAATTATTAATTGAGACCATAACATTGAGTGAGACTCATGTAATTTCTTTCATGTAAAACAAACAGTGTGAGCCAATGCAAGTGGTAATAAATACCAAAATATTCTATAACAAATAACATTAAGAAAGGTATAAAATAATTTACTGTTTAATTACAGAATGCATTTTCATCTACAATTTCAAAACACTTTCAGATATTAAAAAAGATTTTTATAGCAGGGCACTAGCAAACATCAGTGAAGTTAAGAACTTTACCTCGTGAATAGCTACCAGGTTCTCTCAGGGCAGCACTGCTAAATATTGGACTGAACAGCTCACAAATCTCATTGAAATGAACTGTATTAGCTTATTTGTGAACTAATTTGATAAATACTAAAGTAGATGCACATACAAACATTAGTCACTAAGATGCTTGTGACCTCACCAGCAAACCTAGCTCATTTTTTACCCAGTGTTTTCCAGGTCCCCAACCTCAAAGGGAGGAACTTTAAACAGCCTCTACTCATCAGGACCAGGAATGGGACCTAATAACCCCAACATGGCAAAGGCCTGTCCTGTATTCCCTTATAACGTTTTCTCTTTGTCAAGTTCTTTTTTTCAAGAAGTCTCTTTTATTTGATGACCACACTATTAATATTTTTCTTCCACAAATGTCATCTTAGAATATCAATATTTTTGAACTTCAATGTCAAAATGTACTCTATAGGCCACTGTGTTTATTTAACTAAAAGTTGATGAAACTGATACTAACATCATATATCAGTCAATGAAAAATAACTCTTCCCAAGCTCCAACTCTCAAGTTCTACATTAGCAGCTCTAAGAGAACTAAGGCTGTGTCTTATATACTACTGTATGTCTCCTAAGCAGCCAGCACTGTCTTGCACTTTATGCTGAACGCACACAGAGGGGTCACTAGGTGATGGAGCTAGGTGATGGAGGCATCAAAGTCAATCTTTTCTCTTCTCCATTTTTACTAGAATAGACCTTACCTACACATTCCAAAAAAGGACTTATATATGAAAAAATACTCAAATATATAGTCCTATATTTTATTTCTTCTATGTACATTACATTTTTGTGAGCCCATTTAGTCTGAATACTCTATAAAATATTGCACATCAATATTCTGCATAGATTCTCATGTGCTGAGAAAACAAAAAAATTAAAGGGATTGTTGAAAAGTTAAATTCTACAATGTGAAAAATATTGAAAAATATTTCTAAGTGAGAAAGTCCATTCTCAAATTTAATGTACTATTAACTACACTATGACGCATGAAAAAATTTTTTAAAAAGAACTTTATAACACCAAGATCCCCAGAAACTAAACGTGTCATCATCTCCTGACCTAAAGAATTCCAGGTAAAAGAGGTTCACTTCATTTTTTTTAACCAATGGATTCGGTTTCAATCTTAATGCCAGCCAGCCTGAGTGGAGGCTGCTGCCTTCAATGAGGGTGGCAAACGAAAAAGTTCTCAGGTCACCAACGTAGCTCAGATTCCAGCCGCGACAGCCTTGAGTCGATGTGGCATCGCTTAGGGAGCTCCCCGGCCTGAGTCAAGGCCCCCTCCCGTCCCGCCCGGGGCTGCCTGACCCGGGATGAGGTTTACTAACAACTTCTCCGGGTGCCGGCGGAGCGAGGGGCGCGGAAGCCAGCGCCTGGGGAGGCTCGGGCGCGCTTCCTCGCCGCAGAGGCGCGCCGCCTGCCCCAGGATCGGCACTCGCGGCCACCCGACCCCCGACGGGCTGGGGTACGTAGGGAAAGGAGGGCGCGAGGCTGCGCCGCCCAACCGGGCAGAGGGAAGCTGGAGCCCCGTGGGCCGTCAGGGAAATCGCGGCCGGGCAGGCCAGACCCGGCGCACCAAAAGCGCTCTCCGGCTCTCCTCCGTGCTCCTGGCTCGGCGCTGGGCGTTCAAGGGGAGGGAAGGGACTCGAAGCTGCTCTGCCGCCCGGAAAGCCCACGCACGGCTTGGGCTTCACGCCTCGGGCGCCCTCCCTGACCGAGCCCGGGCGCGCAGCCCGCGGCGCTCAGCGCCCAGCGCCCGGCGTGGGACGTGGCTCAGCCTCCCGCCGGCGCCCGGCCAGCCCCGCAGGCGACCCGCCCGAGACTCCGGAAGAAAGTTGCGCCACGCGGGGCCCAGAACGGCGGCCGCCGCGCGCCCCTGCCCGCCCCTCAGCTTACAGCTCCTGGCCGCGGCTCGTCCTCTCCGGTGTCGCCTCCCCAGCCTCGGCCCAGGCTCCAGAGCCCCTTCCCGGCCCCTCTCACTCCAGGGTGCCCGGGCCCCCGGCCCCCTCGGAGCCGAGCCCTCAGCGCGCCCGCCGCGCCATGGGTGCCGATGGGCGCCGCGCCCCGGGATGCGCCGCTGAGCCTGGGGCGGCGCTACTGAGAGCCCACTGGCGCGGCCGGGTGGGGTGTGGACGAAAGGGGCGGAGGGCTGGACGCGCCGGGCGCTGAGGCTCCGCTCGAGGGAGGAGAAACCGCAACGTCACCAGAGCCCCAGGAGCGAGGATGGGGAGGGGGAAACGGGGACCCCCTCCCCCGGCCGCACCCGAGCTCAGGCCCGCCCGGCTTTCTCCTCCTCCTCCTCCTCTCCTGGGACTCGCCCCTGCGCTCGGCCTTCACCATTTGCCACCCTGCCCGCCAGGCCTCTTTGGCTCTAATTTGCTCTAGTTTTTTACAACCCATACCCTTTGGGTTTGACTCTGAAATCGCACCCAACGGAAAGATAACTTTTGGAGGCCCAGGGGGAGGAGCTGCTGCTTCCGTGCAGCCCTGAGACAGGAAAGTGAAAAGGACATTGAGAAGCTTTACTACCAGATCTGGTGCCCACTCCCCTCCACCTTCTCCAAAATAGTTTACTGCCCCTTTTCTCCCAATTCGCTTTTACTCTCTTCTCAAAGAGAAGGGGGGCGGGGAATCACCTATGCAGAAGCAGTTCTTGCCTTGACTGTAGTAACAAAAGACACGAAATCCAAAAGCACTGAGCCCTGCAGACTGACAGATTTCAATCATGAAAGATCGGTAAGCAGAGCATCTGATGTATCCAGCTCACAAGAAGGAATGATCTCACAAGGATAAGAGAGAGACAGAACTCATCCATTGGAGTTCTTCCGGAGGAGCATTTACAATCTTGGTAGTCATAGTCTCTTGGTGAAATTTCCTCTGTTCTCTTAAAACCAGCCACTGCATACAAACACTCTCAGCTCAGGGAGCTGTCAGCTATAACCAGGGCCATCACCTTAGGGCTAGTTTCCCCTCCCTCGGTGTTTGCATGTAATTAACCTAGCAGAGCTAAAAGTGATAGATGTGTAGGTTACTAACCCTTTCATTAGAATAGAAAATGTTTTACTGGGAGCAGTGCTTTTCTCCGTGTTTGTTTCCAGGTGCTTTGTTTGAATTCTGAAAGGCCAACTCCATCTCAGAGGTTCTCAAGACCTACAGACTAAAAGTGCTTCCATCTGACCATCTTAGGAAAAACTGTGGATGTCTACTTTTACACTTCTCTTTTTTACAAATTGCATTTAAGAGAGATTCTTTACAAACAGGTCAGAGGAAGTGATACTGTTACGTTTTGTAAATGTGGCTGGGTGTGGTGGCTCACACCTATAATCACAGCACTTTTGGAGGCCAAAGCAGGAGGATCACTTGAGGCCAGGAGCAGTAGACCAGCCTGAGCAACATACTGAGACCCCAATCTCTACCAAAAATAGAAAGCCTGACCTGGTAGCACATACCTGTAGTCCCAGCTACTCTTAGGCTGAAACAAGAGGATCGCTTGAGCCCAGGAGTATGAGGTTGCAATGAGCTATGATGACGCCACTGCACTATAGCTTAGGCTACACAGAGAGACCCTGTCTTTAAAAAAAAAAAAAATGTTAAATGTTCACTCAGGTAAACAACTGATTTGCATAAACTTCCTGATGTCTTAGAGGAAGCCTAAAAGGGAGAGAAGGGGCTCTGGAAATTAAAACGAGCTTTAATCTGCTTTAAGTCTTTACTCTGCAATTAATTTACTACTGTGGGCCTTGGAAAATAGCTCAACTTTAGATCCTCACTTTCCTTATCTGTAGTGTGTTGATAAGATACTTCCATTGAACAGTTATAGAGAAGATACAATAGAAACAGCTAATGTTTTTCGAGATTTTACTACACCATGCCAGGCACTGTGTGAAGAGAGTTATATGTGTTAATTCACTTATTATGGTTCGCCTCAGTGGTTTATGCCTGTAGTTCCAGCACTTTGGGAGGCCAAGGCAAGAGGATGGCTTGAGCCCAGGAGTTGGAGGCTACAGTGAGCTATGATTATGCTACTGTTCTCCAGCCTGTGCAATAGACAGAGACCCTGTCTCAAAAAACAAAAGAAAAGAAAAGGAAAAAGAAAAAAAAAACCCACAAGTGTTAGAGAGGATAAATTGTGAAAGTGCCTAGCTGTAGTATGTTATCCGTAAGTATTAAATTCTCTTTATCTTCTCAAATCTGGTTTAATTTATTTAACCTCCCAGCAAGTAGTCTTCTTGTTCAGTGAGTGATTCTCCAACCTAGAACCTTAGAATCATCAGGGAGCTTTAATAAATTCTTTCTAATGGGGGCCCCACACCAGACCAGAATCTCTAAGGTTAGGGTCTAAGCATCAGCATCAACATTTTAAAGTCTCTTCCCAGGTGATCATATGTCAACCAGGATTGAGAACTCCTCAAAAGAGGCAGTGTCCATGGTCATTAGCTCCCCTGGCACCAAATTGACCTTTGATTGACCTGTGAATCTACCTCTGGATGACGTCCACCTCTTATAAAGGGCCCCCATTACAGTACATCTCAAAAGATCTGCAGTTCTGCACTCTGGAGTCTACAGGATGAAGTTAGACTTGATTCCACAGGAGAATGCTTCCATTTGCCTAGGTACATACTAATTCCATCAGCTTTTCCTCATCCATTCTCAAGGCTCTCAGTTGTTAATTTGCTTTGCCAATGGCCCTCTCAAAACCTGATCACAAGAATAGAATTCAAGGTTTCATCCAAATAACAGAATTGGTTTCATGGTTTCATCCAAATAACAGAATATAAAGATATTTCCTGGCTTTGTTTTAATTACTGTATTACCCTAAGTATATACTTGGAACTTTAATGGCAGCAATATTATCCTATTGACTCCTATATTACAATCTACTAAAATCCTAAAATGTGAAAGTTTTTTTTCACAACTGCTGCTATGACACACCTTCCCAGCCTACACTCATTGCAATTTGTGTTCAGCACTTAACATGTGATGCTATTGAATTTTATTGTGTTAAATTGGGACTCTTCTTTTCGCTTCTTGACATGTTGGGTGCCAATTAACGTAATTGAGTAATTCTACGTCTATTTTTGTATCCTCTGTAAATCTGGTCTATATGCAAGGTCATCATTTTAGTTCTCATTCTGAAGCACTTTCCACTGCCAACTGACACTTAATTTGAATGCTATTAATGAATATTCTCATCAGTTGAGAACCCACCTGTTACCTAGCCATATTTTCTTCCCTTGTCCCAGGACAGCAGCTAATGTGCATGGGTGCATGGCACCTTTGCAGAAAACAGAAAAAGGCACCCCCATCCTCATTCCAGCTGAAGGATTAGGAAAAAGCAACTCCTTCCTCCCAGATGCTGCTCCAAACAGACAGCAGCTGTGCTTTGTCTATTAGATGTCTTTGCTCTACTGGTATAGCAACATTGTCAAAAAAGGGAAATGACTACATACTGAATTCTTGTTAATGTCTACTAAATTGTGTCTTCCTTTTTTAAGTGCCCAGATGTTACTCTAAGAATAGGTTTATTAATTTTGCTCAATATCTATGAAAACTCCCTTGTCTTGATTTCAGAAATGTCTTTTTTTGAAAACAGAAATTCCATTTGTCTACCTCCAGTTTCTTAGTATCCTTCTGTGCTGATTCCAGCTGAGACTGACTCCTCATTGCTAAACTCTCCTTGCTGAGATGTAAATTTTCTAGGCAAAAGAAGTTAAGCTAAGTTATATTTTCGTAACAAGTTTCTTTACCAATCTTAGTTTTCAATTAACTTTTGAATAAATGTTTATTTTGTCCCTAGCTTTAAGAATTTATTTTTTTCATAATAGAGAAAACAGAAAAAAAAGGAATTAGTTCTGTTGTATCATCCATTTATCTCAAGCAGAGGCATCCCTTTCATGTTCTTCTTATCTGAACAAAACAAAACAAAAAGATGTATTTTTTGTTGTCTGTAGTTTATTCTTGGCTCCAGCCTAACAGACCCCAATATTACAGGGCTGTTATGGTTATGTTTTTCATCTTCTTGTTGAGTTTAATTCGTTAAATTAAACTCAAATCTGCCCTTTAACTTTTACCAATCAGCCAGCTGGTCTGTGACTGCACAACTGCCTCAATCGTTGAAATGCTTTTTTTTCTATTTCTTCCTCAGGCCAAAGTTACTCTATTTGTAAAACTGCCTTGCCTTACCCTACACCTATAGATTCTCTCATCCTCAGGTCTGAAGAGGTGATGGCATTACACCCATTGTACTGATGAGGAAACAGAGGCTCAGAAAGTTGAAGTGAGTTTCCCAGGACATAAATGGCTCAGACCATATATGATTAAGCTTTCTGACATTATTTAATAAATCTAGGCTATTTCCATTAAACCACTTGGCCTATACTCTCTTTTCATACCTAAAGCCCCACTTCCAGTTTGAGTGTCTTGGCCTCAGCTGAAAGCTATTCTCCTTTCATTCACAATTGACTTTTGAAATGGATGATTTTATATCACCCTCTGATTTATTATAAACTACCTAAGGTGTCCGAGACACCCTCAAAATTATAGTACTGTTCTCTGAAATTAAACAATTATTATTGATATTTGCTACATGAATGAATGAAATTAGATATTTGTCCTTTTCCTCAAGTTATTGAATGGACCTAAAGGATTGAATATTTAATTCTGTTTTTTGGGTTTTTTTCCTAAATGTGGCTGCTGGGAACTGTAAAGAACTTTGGCCATCACTAAGCTATCTAGAAAATAAATATTTATTAGGTCTTGGTTTAATTTAGTGATTCCTTATAACAGGCACTTGGATAGTATTTAATCTTCTTTTTACCGAACTCTGACCTCTTCCAGAAAAGTGCAATTAAGGACGAGCTGTGTTCACAAGGTTCTGAGGACAGTTTCAAGGCCCAGAAATCTGACTGCCCAATGTCCATGTGGTATTATAGTCTGTTATCCCAAGAAATAGCCCAATTTCTGTCTTTGTGACCTGACTCTCCTATCACCCACTGAGTTTATTCTTGGGATAATTATGATTATGCTCCTGTTTTTGTTAAATCAGCAGTGAGTAGAATTTACTAAGTATTTTTTTTTTGGTAAACATTAGAATACTGAATTCATGAAGCAAGCTTAGACTTGTTTATTAGTAACTTTAGCACATGTAGCTCAAAGAGAAGCACAAGTTGCAAAGGAGACTAAACCTG